TCTAATCAGAAACAATTGAAAGCAATACATGTATCAACCTCTTTTACGATCGATCAACGATCTCTCTCGTTGTACAAGTAAACGAAATTCTGATTACGGAGCGATTGTCACCGGCTACGTTTGCGGGTCGCGGGCGAGGGAAGAACGGCCGCGAAAACTGCGGAGGAAGGCGAGGTCTTAAAGGTAAGCGAGTGGTATTGCCGGCGTGGTACGACGTACGACACCTAGCCGGTGTGTTTCACGATTTTATGCCGGACGTAGTTGGAACGAAGGCACATCAAAGGCGCCGCTATCGGCGCAAAGCCGCTTTATGCTCGCGTGTCATTTCTCTGCGCGTACGCTGTTCCGTATACATGCCGCTTTCTCATCCACGTGCAACACAGATTACACACAATCGCACGAGCCCCGGATCGGGGCCGCCTCTGCTTCGAACTGTTCGTGATATATATCGTACCGGCGGATATTGGATCGTATAAACTCCGGCGCGTTTCCAGCGGGGGTGCAACCGGAGAGAGAGAGAAGCTTCAGGCCAGGCACAGAGAAGTTCGAGAAGATCCTCTGCGAACGCGCAACGTGTCCTTCTCTCCTTTCTTTTGAGAAATTTTTGTTTCGTTTTCGTCAAAGTATTCGCGTCGGAATATTATTATTATATATAGCCTGTCATTCACAGTTATTGCGTTCCCAATAATCTTGTCCATCTGTTCGCAGAGATATGAAAAAATTTTATTAACGAAAGTTATTCGGTAGAGAGGAGACCTACAATTTGGCAGTAATTGTTTTCTTTTTTTTTTTTTTTGTAGACGGAGACTTCAATTTGTTATAGTATATATAACATTACTAATTAACATAATTTATGTATATATATAATTTTAAATTAATGTAATTAAATAAAGTTTTATAATACAAATATATTTTAGTAATAATCAAAGATTAATAATATTATTAATAGTTTAAAGCAACGAAAACGAATTTTCTTTAAAATAAATGAGTAAAATTTATTTTGTACCTTTTGTATCAATTGATTAATTAATAATTTTAAATATATATATATATATTTTGTAAAGTAAAAGAAATAAATATATTTTCATTTTTTCAAACGTGACTATATATTTTTTGTATTCGTTAGTCAAAAAGTATTTTATCAACGAAAAATTGTGAATGTAGGAAATATTTCAATTTTAGTTTTGTAAAGCTATAAAGGACGATATGAACATAAAGAATACTGCCCCGTCTTTCCTTGTCATTCATACGATAGATATTATGGGATTAAGATTAAGATATCTTCTAGCTCTCCTAATAAAACTAATAGCTTTTCAACATACACAGGTTGATACTTTTTTTTATAGAAGCTACCTCGGTTAATAGATAAAAAAATATATTATTCCAATTAAAAAAGAGATGACTCTTCCACTTACAAAAAGATCATTACTGCCATATTGTAATCCGCTTGGTACTGAATAACTTTTATCAGTAAAGTTTATCATTTAGCAACAGAGTTATTTAAATGATCCGCCATTTTAGGCATATTTAGTCCACCCTGTATATTTATATATATTACACTGACTGACGGAATTGAAAACTAATTAAAAGTATCAAAAGTTATATAATATCACAAATAATAAATATTAAATAATAATAAAAGTAATTAAAATGATAAATAAATATTAAAGATAATTAAAATATTAAATAAATACTAAAATAATTAAAATATTAAATAAATATTAAAAATACCAAAACTAGACGAAAATAACGTATTTGTAAAAAATTACAAAATAAATTTTAATGAAATAAATATCATTGTGATCGAAGATTTCTACGAAAAAATGTTTATTGCCTAAATCCAATAAAATTTTCAATAAAGTGCAATTACATTCTTTTACGCTTCTTGACGTTTTTTTAACGCGTGGACAACAAAGTAACCGCGAAAAATATGTCCAAGTTGTTTTATTATCAGAAAAGTAATAAAACGTTATCGAACGTGTGAAGATCTTTTTCAAAGGAACTTTCGTCGAGTCATTGCTTTCTTTAATAATTCGAGTTAAACTCTAATTTACCACGAACTTTATGATGAAGTAGTAAAGAATGCTATCGGAGTGCGAAAGTCTACGAAAATTCTTTGCTTCGAGAAACTCACCAGTGAAATTTCGAACGACCCAAGTCGCCTGTGGATTCATGCAACAAATTATTGGGCAAACTATCCTGAATTGTCGAAAAATAGGTAAAATTTTGAGAATATTTTCGATTTGTAATTACTAAATGAAAAATTCCAACGCTTAATCACATGTAATGCGATTTCCATCTTTATAGTTCTGTTTCTTTCAGATTAAAATTTTTCGGAAATTAATTAAATAATTTCGGAAATTTCATTTCGTTTGCTGGCCATCATCGCTATAAAGAATTCAGGAAGATCCATCCAAGATGAGATGATTTTCTAATTTCTATTGATTTACAACTAGAAATGTATTATTTATTGTATTATAAAATGTAGCACGCGATTTTTTCGATTATTTCGATTGTTTCGATTATTTAATTATTTACGAACGTTTCATCGAAGAGAACAATTGTGTCTTTAAACTGTCACCATTCCTATAATGATACAAATTTTCGAAAATCCGTACGTTACATTTTAGATGATGTATTTTTATGTGTAAATTAGTAAAAATCTTTTGCTTTGGTCTCTTAGAATAATGGCGATCAACAATTGATGTTCTATGAAACAAAATTTTTAAACAGTGAATAATTTCGTCATTTTCTGACATTTTCACTTCAAAAAAAATTGAAATGTAAAAGTGAAAAATCACGTTTGTGTATCTCGAAATACATTGGAACTTTCCTTTTAATAATTACCAATTTAAAAAATTCGCAAAGTTATCTATGTTTAGACGATGCAGAATAGTCTCTTAATATAAGTCAACATATAGTAGTACATTAACACACTATACTAAAACAATGACGAGCAATTCAATTATTTATCTGCGGCCCATCAAATAGCTAAAGTATAAAAATTGCAGTCGATAACTGCTAAGTATCAAAATCACAATATAGTCGGTGCTGTCTTCTTGCCCCATCATAAATTCTGTCCTGCATAAATTAAAATTTTTTTTATTAATTATATCTAATTTATTAATATAATTTTATACTAATATATAATTTTAATATAATATAGTTTTATACTAATATATAATTTTAGTATAATTAGTATATTGTAATATATTTTTATACTAATATATAATTTTAGTATAATTAGTATATTTTAATATAATTTTATACTAATATATAATTTAAATATAATATATAATTTAACTAATATATAATTTAAATATAATTAGTATATTTTCATATAATTTTATACTAATATATAATATGTAATTTTAATATAATTAATATATTTTAATATAATTTTATACTAATATATAATTTTAATATAATTAGTATATTTTCATATAATTTTATACTAATATATAATATGTAATTTTAATATAATTAATATATTTTAATATAATTTTATACTAATATATAATTTTAATATAATTAGTATATTTTCATATAATTTTATACTAATATATAATATGTAATTTTAATATAATTAATATATTTTAATATAATTTTATACTAATATATAATTTTAATATAATTAGTATATTTTAATATAATTTCATACTAATATATAATTTTAATATAATTTTATTAATTATATATAAATATTTAACAAACTGCGTTTGTTTCGATTCGTATGAAATATTAAATTCCCAATTTTGGTAAAGCAAAGATTACCCATCGTTGATATAGAATATTAACCCTTTACACTTCTAACTACTGTCAAAGTTGCTGTGAGCTTCAGTTGAGAAAAAGTCTGAGTATAAATGGTTGATATGATTTGAAAAGATCTTGACATTTTTCTTGCATCCGACAGTACAATTTCCATTGTAAATTTCTTACAATAAAATAAACAGGATTTACTTAACCCGCCTTTCACCCGTTTCAAACGTAAGCGACGTATTGCCATTATGGCAATAGATAAATCCAGGTTCCGCTACGAGGCAATGACATATACAAGGAGTTCGATAAAGGCAAGGAACGACAGGCGTGCCTGTTTGCACATTCTTTTTTCTCTCTGTAGTAGGTATAAAACAACGAAGACCAATCGACTATCTCGCGGATCGAATTAGCTTGCGATTGGTTCAACAAAAAGGAAGATAAAAGCCACCTAAGATTTGATAAGAAAGCAATACAAAATGATTTATCTCTGTTGTTACATTTGAAAAGGCTGAAAATTTGGAACAAAGTTAAAGTCAAGCAATACTAGCATTTTGCATTTCTGGCTTTTATAATCCTTCGTGTCATTTTTATATTGAATTCTTTAGAACTAAAGTAGAACTTTGGAATTTATATTATACGTTAAATTTATATTTATACATTAGCACATAAATTTAATATATAAATTAAATTTATATTTATACATTAGAACATAAATTTATTATAAATATACATTATTATAAATTTAATTTATAATAATGTATATTTATAATAATATATAATATATATTAAATTTATATTTGTACATTAGCACATAAATTTAATATATAAATTAAATTTATATTTATACATCAGTACATAAATTAAATTTATATTTATACATTGGCGCATAAATTTAATATATAAATTAAATTTATATTTATACACTAGAACATAAATTTAATTTATATATTAAATTTATATTTGTACATCAGCACATAAATTTAATATAATATATAAATTAAATTTATATTTATACATTAGCACATAAATTTAATTTATATATTAAATTTATATTTATACATCAGCATATTATAAATTAAATTTATATTTATACATTAGCACATAAATTTAATATATAAATTAAATCTATATTTGTACATCGGCACATAAATTTAATATATAAATTAAATTTATATTTATACATCGGCACATAAATTTAATATATAAATTAAATTTATATTTATACATCGGCAAATAAATTTAATTTATAGCCAGTGGACATTTCGATAAAAAACGAAATCGAGTAAATAGACACGCAGCGTGTCGAGCGAAAAATCGTGAACAGAACGGGAGCTGTGACATCATCGGTGCCGACGGAGCCGATTATCGGTTATCTAAGGAAATAAAGGATCGTCGGGCCTCTTTTTCGTTGAAAACGGTTCCAGGAATCCGTGTTACCGCAATATCGCGCGTGCACACCCACATCAAAGTGCCGAACGACGACTCCGCCACATCGTGCTCTTCGTCGCGCGCTTTGCACAGCGATAAGATTCCCTCGATACTCGGAGTTGACCGGTTTTCTATCTCTGCAGGTCGAACGTCTGTGTGTGCCGACAAAACCGTATGTAGAGCGTACGTAACTCACTTCCACCGAACTCTGTTTCTGCAATAAACTAATAAAAAAAAAAAAAAAAAGAATTAGTCATCTTGACGCGACGCTGATCCGTCTCGGGGGGAAAAAGAGTAAAGAAAAGGCGGTGATAACTGATAACGACTGACTTGAAACGAGGAAACGTGCTTCCGGCCCCTTCTTCAATGATTCAACCTTTTGCAAATACTGTTGATTTCTTTGCAATGTTTGCTCGAGGCTTGTTACATCTCGCTGCTACGAGGAAATTCGTCTGCAATTCGAAAGCAAAGAACTTGTTGATATACCATATAAATCGACAATTTATATTTGTAATCGCAATATTATACGTTATATCGTTATTAATTAATTCGCGTGTTTTATATTTGAGCCAGTGTTAGGTGAAATTCCATCCGGGATAAACAGTTGTTCGCCACTGTTGAATAAATGTCTGATCGAATAAGTACTCATTTGTACTCGGTTGAAGATTTATTCAAATATAAATCTCATTAGCATATTTATTTAATTATGTTACGTTGTACTATAAAAGAAAAATGTTTAATACACGAAGCAATCATTTTTCACATGTTACATTGGCCTTTTGATAATTTTTAATATTCAATTGTTGTATGCTCAGAACAGAGTATTTGCCAATAGCAGACGAGTCTTTGGTTATCAAATAATTATAAAATATCCGAAAAATAAAGGAGGCTTTATTATACTTTAATAATTAATTTCTACATCTTCTGTTTCTTTTTTTTTTTTTTTACTCGACTTATATTTTCCTACTGATTTAAATTTTATTAATTTTATAAATTTTATTATAATAATTTCATTGTTACTGATAATATTCTTCTTTCATTCGATTCGTATTTTCGTACCAATTTTACCAATCGGTGCTAGCAATAATATTTTAATAACCAGTTTCTTCGTCGTGTTCTTCAAAAATTAATACTAAACCAGCGACCATGTATGACTTATAATGTTACAATTCGATAGAAATGGACAGGGCACACAGTAGTTTTTTTTTTTATCAGTGTTTCGCCGGAAAAAATATCGCAGCAATCGCGTCGGATGTGTTAAAAGCTTTACGTCCACCATTAGCTGGAACGTTGCTTCTGAATAATGTATGCTTTCAGTTATTCAACGATTTTGACGAGAATTTAATGACTGAATCGAGCCACTCATCGATAGAATCTGTTGAATCTCATGGCACGCTGCTTATGAATAAGAGAAAGATAATTTCAACGTTACTCTCATATACATGTGATAACGATAAATACGAATCATATATGTTATTTCGAAATAAATGAAATCATTGTATGAATGTAATGGCTTAATTCGTAAAATTAATGTAGAAGTTTTAACAGAACTTTTATCTGTATTTAAATATTAACTGTGACATACTAACCACGCATCTCTGTCTAATGTTTAATTATTTCTATCAATTCCTGAGTACAATACAGATTAAAACTAATACAACAGCTATAGAACGTCTGATAAGTAGCTAACGTTTATTACATTTTACGCGTACACTTAAATGACAAATAAATATCTATTGTTCTTACTTTATATTCTTGATACTAAAAAATTTCTAATTTCTAATAATAGAAGTAGTAGACTAAACAATAGCAATATTATATTTCAGAACTACAAATATTGAAACTTATACAATTATTATAGAATTCAATTTATTAATTATTTATTAATATCAAATTCAATTATTTTCGTGGTACGTTAATTCTACGTGCAAAAATAAGTCGGGAAAACTTTGTTTAATTTAAAACATTCCGTTTCGGAATAGATCGTGTTTGAAAATTTGTCAACTAAAAAGTGTGAAAGATATGCGAGTGAGAAAAGTATGCAAGAAAAGATACATATGAAATACAAAAAGATACAAATAAAATTTTTTTCGTTGCAGGTTTGATTTTCAACAAAATTTTATTATTCTTACTCCTTATCACATGACACGAACAACATAAAATAATGCAGAAAGAAAGACAGAAATGAAAAATAATTGAAAGCGATCTTGTTAACGATCTGCAGCATTTAGGGGTTGATAGTGTTGTAAAAATTTCGTTGTAAAGAGACAGCATAAAAAAATAATAACATTCTCGAAAAAGGTAACAAAGAAAAAAAAAACATACATATAACGCACATAAAAATACTTCAACAAAAGATCACTTACTGGTTGACTGGTCCCTCGGTTATTATTCCGAAGTAATAATCGATTTCAGAAGTCCATTTGCAGCAAAACGTGTCTCTCAAGTTCGTCGAAAGAACCGAAGCTTTTGCAGTGGAATAAAAGGTTAAAGACACATGTGTGCTCGCTGCATTTCTGGATCATGTCACTCGACGCTGCGGTAAAATACCACGCAGCAGAAACATTCGTTGAATACACGATAGATTCTGATGGTCAGTAGTCATACTTGTGGTGTTCCTGACATTGTTAAAAAAATAGAACTGACGATACGTTTCGGATCGTTTCGAAATTGAGACGCCAGCTGACAGATTTTCGTGGTGAAAAAGAACTGTTTCAAAAATTCAAACTCCTAACAGTAGATTTCTGAAAAAGAACATATAGTATTGTGGTTATATAATTTAACGTCATTTTTCTTGCAAAATGTGCATAAAATGTGTAAGATCACGATATATAAAGTTGAACATCTATATCTGAAAGTAGGCTACGCTTAGAATAGAAGTTTAATCTATTTATTTGTTAATAAAAGAATTTGCACATTTAATTATTTTTATGTTTCATTGTGGGTATCAATTTTTTACTGAATCTCTTCGACAGAAGACAAATTATAATTGGAAAAGTGAGAGATGAGTGGCGGTTAAAAAATAGAAAAATGATATGTTCCGAATTATTTTAAAAAGTCGTATTAAAAAAGAATGTGGTAGATCCTAATGATCACGATATTTCTGAAATTGAAGGTAAAGAAGAATTTCCTATTTTATATAAAAAAAGATAATCTTTTCTTCTACGTAAAAAGAAGTTGGCTTCAATTAATACAAATAAATCGTGACCATAAATCATTTGACCAGAAATCATCATCGAAAAGAACGAGCTCAGGATTGTCAAAATAGAGATTCTTCAAAATAAGATCAAATAGATTGTTGTATGATTTTCTTTTACAATGTAATGACAATTTAAATTACCGACAATTTTTCACCGTTATTGATTCAATTATGCTTTTCACTATATATAAAATAGTCTACTGTATAATTTTATTAAATAGTAGTTTTAGTACTGTATTTTAGTACTGTATAATTTTACAAACTACAATACTGTAGTTTTGTTACTGTATAATTTTACAAACTACAGCACTGTAGTTTTGGCACTGTATAATTTTATAAACTACAACACTGTAGTTTTGGCACTGTATAATTTTACAAACTACAATACTGTAGTTTTGCTACTGTATAATTTTACAAATTACAATACTGTAGTTTTGCTACTGTATAATTTTACAAATTACAACACTGTAGTTTCGGCACTGTATAATTTTACAAACTACAATACTGTAGTTTTGATACTGTATAATTTTACAAATTACAACACTGTAGTTTCGGTACTGTATAATTTTACAAATACAATACTGTAGTTTCAGTACTGTATAATTTTACAAACTACAATATATTAACTTTTATTAAATAGTAGTTTTATTAAATAGCATTAAATAGCCTACGGAAATAATTTTAAACAAAAAATGTATAATTTCATTAAATAGCCTATAGGTTTATTAAATAGCCTACGGAAATAATTTCAAATAAAAAAAACGTATAGTTTTATTAAAAAGCCTATCAGTTTTATCAAATGTATAGCTTTATTAAACAGTCTATAGTTTTATCGAGTGTATAGTTTTACTAAAAAGCCTGCGGAAATAATTTTAAATAAAAAAAAAAAGTGTCGCCAAGCCTGTTCACAGACGGCACGAACGTCAAAGTGAAGCGAACAAACAGCACGTTGCCCGACTCTGACGTCCTTGGAGTGTTACTGCCTTGACCAAACATACCACCCACTGGCAACCGTTTTAATAAAAATAAGTAATCTCGCAAACAGCAATTGTAGTGTCGTAAACGGTCGCACGATGACCTCGTAAATATGAAAGTTTCCGGGGCTGTTGCTACTCCTCGCCTTTTTTCCCATTCTATTATCCATTCTTTTTTTTCGGCTCCTTGCTCTTACTGCGACGATCCCTCGGCCAAGAAAGCAGAGAAGACGCGCGCCGAGGTGTCGGAGGATACGACAAAGACGAGGAGAAACAACGAAAGGGAGAGGAACGAGGGTACCGGAACACGAAGAAACGGGCCCTATATTATAGAGCCCATAAAACATCTTCCTGGGCGCGTGGCTTCAAGGACGAACTGGCGGTCTCTTACCACTTTTATTTCTCTTCTCTCGTTCGCTGAATGGGCGCGTGTTGCCTCTCGGAGAATTTTGGATGGGAAAGGACACTGTCTTGCGTTTCTTCGTAGTTGTCGAGATGGAGGATGCTTCTCCTTTTTTTTGCACGTGATGTCGATTTAGTTAAGTGTCAAAGTTACGTAACGATGGACATCTGCAACAAAAAAAGATCTCAAGGTGTTATGCCCTGACGTTTCTTTTAGATAAAGAGCTTGCGACCTCGGCCAATGTCGATCAAATGACAATCTTAAATCAAGCGTATTGTACGTGCATGGTACAATAAAAAACTATTTACGTGTATAGTATACACGATCAGTACGTCATTTTTGTTTATCTCAACGTTGAAGATCTAATTGCACGATGAAACGTATTTATAATGTTATTATTTGTATTTTTTATATTGGTTAGGCAGGGATTATTAGATTGCAACATATGAAGTTCTGCAAACTCATTGAATCGTCTATTTGTTTAAAAATTCGGTTAAATAATATTTATTTCGTTCCGAATAATATAAAATATTCCATTTTATGAAAATACAATCGCTATACTAATATAAATTTGACATTCCTGTGAAAACTTTCGACTGTTAACAATCTGTTAACAATGATCGATTAGAGATTTTAACCCTTATACAATCGCTATACTAATATAAATTTGCCATTCTTGTGAAAACTTTCGACTGTTAACAATCTGTTAACAATGATCGATTAGAGATTTTAACCCTTATACAATCGCTATACTAATATAAATTTGCCATTCTTGTGAAAACTTTCGACTGTTAACAATCTGTTAACAATGATCGATTAGAGATTTTAACCCTTATACAATCGCTATACTAATATAAATTTGCCATTCTTGTGAAAACTTTCGACTGTTGACAATCTGTTAACAATGATCGATTTAGAGAGTTTAACCCTTTAGGAACGATGTATGTACTGACTTTTACGCAATCTTTAAAAAGTTACTTCAACTCCCATTATTTAAAGTTACAAAAATTATCATTTAGCCTGTCTAGTTATTATTATTCACGTAATTTAAAAAATTTAATCGTCAACATCAAGTTCTTGAACATAATCGTTCTTGAAGAGTCAATTGTCAATCAAAGTTAATAATTATAGCGTTGCTTTACAATGGTGAAAACGTATCGAGGTCTGCCGAGTCGAAACGTCTGATGAATATTATTTTCAAGAAAGTTGCAGGAAACGGAAACTTTGCAATTTTCAATAAAAACGAAAGCTCGAATCTTTTCCTCTCTGAGAAGGAAAAATCTTAAGGAGACAACATACATTTCAAATCGTTCAATCTCACACGCCACAGAGATCAAGTGGATCACGAAAGATCAGCCAATTTTCGTCGTTCTCTGTGAAAAATTCCCGACACGCGAACGACAAAGATACTCGAACGAGTGGCATCGTTTCATCCAAGGATCTCGAGGACAGTTTCCTCTGGCCCTGAGCTCAGGGACACGGTCGCGTGGCGTTGACGAATCTGTTTAGTGCAGGGCAACAATGCCCGTCCGACGGAGTCCTTCGAGAAATTCATCGATTCGATCCTAGAGAGGCATCTCGGACGCCTTCAACTCAGGGAGCAACTACCGTGCAGGTCCGTTTCTCTACCATCTTGCCCATGACAAGAAACTCGTGCATTGCGTTCTGACAATTATATGGCCAGCAACAGATGTTTATCGTGCAACAGTTCGAGACATACTAAGATCTCGTTTCCTTTAAAACTTTCTCCCATTTGGAGCTTATCGTTTGGAACTTACAATTAAGGTGAACTGTGTTCAATTGCTAGGAATTTTTCTATGAATAATTTAACACGTGTGTCACACGTGAAGCATTTGGAAAATTATATCAACGTAGCGAGGCCTGAAATTGGAATGAAATTTCAAATGTAAATAGAAACAACTACAGTGCATACCATCTTTGACCGCTTGTATTTATATTGTTATAATGCTTCAAATTCACTCTGTATACTTTTTAACTAAACTCTATTATTAAAATATGTTTGCGATAAATATCTTCTAACTTGCATATAAATTTTCAAAATTACGATATAGTTGTCTATACAATATTAATGAGATTTTAGTATTTTTTTTTTTTTTATATATATATATATATATATATATATATAACATTATCTGTACTTACATGAAAATTCTTTACAAGTCCCCGATGCAATAAATATATAATATATAGTTATGTTTGCTTTGATATAGTAATTGGCACAAGTGTTTTTTTATTTTATTGTATTTAAAACGTTCATAACACCTGTGTTTATACGAAAATTGAGACAAATATTAAAAATATGTCCGTTGCCTTGCATGTAAAAGATAGTAAAATTTTATCTTTCTCTCAAATAAATCTATACTTACGAGAGAAACGTTTGAAACAAATAAAATAGACATCCTATAATATAATATGTCTATTTTCTATATACAAAATTGTAAAAGGATTTTATTCAAAATCAAAGAGCTCTGAGCAAACAGAATTCAAAATAAAGGAGAAATATACAGGGTGTTTTGTAACTGTGGTACATTGGAATTGAGTAATTCTACGTGAATTGAAAAGAAAGAATAAATATTTTTTCATCAAAGGCTTCGTTTTCAAGAGGATCGAGTTCAACGCATTGATTAAACACACTTGAAGACGTCATTTTCAAGAAAACGTTCTTCGTGTTTCATTGTGAAAATTGTGTACTCGATTTTCTTCGAAACGGAACATCTTACAAAAAAATTCTGTTCGTCCATTTGCTCGTTCGTGCTGTGTGCCATCACTTATGGGACACCTTGTACGAAGCGAAAAATTCCAGAGGGCCACAGTGCAACTGCAACAAGAAGAGAGCGAAAAGCCAGAGAGACAGTGGGGAGAGAAAAATTCACCCCGTAGCGAGGAGGAAAGAGGTACACCGGATTCTCTGATCTCAGCGATTCCATCATCAACGACTCCGGGGCTTAGGATGGCAGATAAAAGGCAATTGAATTTAAATCATGAATACGAACGAACCGAGCGAGAAGGAGAGAAACGCGGCGAGGAGGGGCGCTTCGGGTAGAGAAGGAGAGGCAACGAAAGCCCCGACGGCAATCTGGTGGTAGCTTTGTGACGGTAATGGCTTCAACCCCTAGCCTCCGACCCCCGAGGCTTGCACCCCTTCTCGTTTACCGGTGAACACGCGACCTACACGCGCGCAACTCTCGGCCCAAGTCGATTTACCTACGCGTTCAAGCTGTTGGCGGAGCCTCGACCTTT